AAGTTATACTTGTTACCAATAGAGTCACTAACGTTTTAACTAATATTTATCACTGTCATGTTTTGTAAATAAAAAACCCTTTCTATAAATTCACTCTTACTTCTTCATATATGACATTTTGATGATTTTCTGCCACTTCTAATTTTGTTTAAAGAACACACTTGCATTACACTCGATAGACAGCAAGGATCTGACGGAAGCGTAAGCGCTGCGAAAGATACACCTTTTAAGAATTAGTTAGCGTTCATATAAGCATTTTTATGTAAGCGGGTTTTGTTTTGCACCCTCTTAAACACGATGTATTTTGCGTTGCCATATGGCAACACGGGGTCAATTTGGGTTAATGAATAACGAAACGAATTTTTTTATTTGCATATCTGTGCCGTTCCATTAAATTAGCTTAATCCGGTACAGGCCCTTTTCTCTTTAAAGCAGCGTTGGGCAGAGAGAGCTTTTACTCTGCTCGAGCCTATACAAAATGTATAGAAAGCTTAAAAGAGCTTTGCCCGCGCGCAAGGCAGTGCCCATCAGTGCTTTAAAGCAACATTTCATGGGATCGCAAACAATATTTTAACATTTAACTCGTAGTTCAAGATGCCCTTTTCATATAAAGTTAATAGAAATATAAACATTTTTAAGACAAACTGGTTATTTTTTAATTCGAAGTCAAATTTTTTAAAGTATCTTTAATTGAACAGTACAGATATATGTATTTGATATAAAAAATTGCCAAAAATCAACGGCAAGCCTTAGCTATTTCTTATTTGCATTTTGTTATACCAAAATTTAGTGGCCAATAATGTAATGTGTATAATTTTTTCTAAAGATGCTCATTAAAATTTGAAATTTTGGTGAAATTTTGCAGAATTTTCATAATTTTTGCACAAAGTCTGAAATTTGGGTTTACATGGTGTTTGTTTAGTAATCAGCTCTGCTTTCATAAAAAAAATAATACTAATTAAAAAACTAAAGCAAAATAGCCAAAACTTGTCCAAATAACGCGTCCCAGTTTTTATTTGGGCCACTGTAAATATCCAGCCCTGGTATATAATTCAGATGAACGTAGTTATTCGTACGTAAGGGTAAGATTTGAAGCGAAAACTTGCTCTGAGCTAAATTCTTTAATTTCTGTAATTAAATATGCACAATTTCTTAACTATTGTAGTGGTGTCTATAATATAGAATTTAATGAAACGTACCAGTTAATACATTATACGAAATTCGAATTGGAAACATATTAAATAAAGACACATATTTACTTTACTTTACTTTAACTTTTTCATACTTTACTTTTCCCAATTACTTTTGAAATTTTAAATTTGCCTCTAATAATTTTATTTCGTATAACAGCATTGCTTACGTTGTCTTTGAAAACTTATTGGTTAGTCAATGACTGCAGACAGTTATATACCAAATTAGAAACCAGAAATAAAACATTCGTAAAAATTAAAGTACGTATGCACATAGAATGAAAAAGCTGTTTAAATACAAAAGTTGTATGAAAATGTCTCATGACACAACTGTTTAAATCTACGTTACATTTTATAAATAAGGCCGTAAACATTTCCTAATGCCCGTATGACCTGTATATTTCATTGGAAATACAAACAAAAAGCTGACGAAAGTCAAATTACAAAAACAATTCGGTAATGTGTTAGAGAAGAACAAATCCTGTGTGAAAGACAGCTGAGTTTTGACATATCCTTACCGAAATTCAAATAAATGAAATTAAAATTTGCGTAAAACAGTTTTGATACATTAAAAAATTAAATTAAAGTGGCAAGACAATAATGTATTTAATTTAATTGTATTTCCATTTTGTTTATGCTAAGAAATAACTCGTCGTTGTAACGAAATACAAGTTGGCCGGACTGTTTTTAACAACCTAGTTTGTTTTTCGTCAGTTTTTCGATTATTTTTTGGTATATAGCTTTCTCCCTTACACAAGTACTGAAATCGTATATAACTTTCTCTTTCTTTCAAAATACAGTGTAAAATACACTCGAAATACAAGAAAAAACGTAGTATCATACGGGCATTACATCCTCAATGTCCATATTCTATTTTTACCCTTTCAATTTCGCTGACGAACGCCGCAAACGATATCAACTAGTAGGCTAACAACCAGAAATAAAAAATACGCAAGTACTTACAGTACTACATGTATACAGAGAATAGATTTGCTACTCCCTTTTGGCAGCAGCAAATATCTCTCGTACGCGATGAGAGCAAGTAGTGTGCTTACTTTGGAGGAGTAATAGCAAGTAGGTAATGTATTTGCTCTTTCAGCGCCAAGTAGCGTATTTATGGGCAAAAGAGTAAAAATGTTTTGTGAGTAGAGTACAATACAAGGAGTACTAACTGAACTTAATTCGGCAAATATACTTGCGCTGGCCTTTAATACATATAATAAAATTGTTACAGGTCGATGTCTGTACATTATAGATATTAAACAAAAATTAATGTGGGGGTCTTTATTAGAGCATCAGAAGCCAAATCAACAATTTTTTAAATTTTTTTCTGCATGTCTGTCGGTCTGTATGTATGCACGCGCATCACTCGAAAACGAATGCATGGAATTGAATGCAGTTTTCACCAATGTATTGCTAAAGGTCTAACCTAAAATACAGAAACAAAAGAATTAGAGAGTTGACACCTGTTTGAAAATTGCGGTTTAAGTAAATTGATAAGAAAAAATAATTATTGCAATATGCGCGTCAAAAGAAAAGAGGCTTAGAGCCAAAAATATTTTTTTAGATTTACCACCTGTTTGAAATTTCGCCTGGATATAACCACAAACTTAATTTTATTGACATTCAATTAAATGTGTTCAAACATAACCAATCGCACCTTTTTGGAACATCTGTTTAGAAGGTTTTTCGCTATAAGAAATCAAAACTTTTGTTGCTGCCAAAAAATTAAGAAATCTGTGACCTCACGCTTTACAATTGCATACAGTTCTCTGTACAAAGTATTTCACTTAACTACTAAATGGCTGCACCGATTTGGTTAATATTTGGAAAATATGCCAGCACCTTGAAAATATATATTCCGACCAAAAATTCACTCGGATGTAGCTCGGGATATTCCTAAAATTCTTATACATACTAAAACGTAAAAAACCAATATATCTCTAAAACCAATTACGCTGGGGAACTGAAATTTAGCACTGATGCACTTGCAAATGCATTGGAAGAGGGGGCGTGGCACCTTCCATTCAAACTGAACTTTTTATATAGCTTATATCTGCAACCGCTTACGCTAGAATTCAACACACCGTTTTTATGGCGAAAAGTGGTAATTATTGGAAAGGCTGCATCAATATACATTTACATTGTACAAAAAAATGAGCTTTGATTTTTCGAGTTTCGTGATAGACTGTCCTATCTACATACCTATTTACATAAAATGATAGACGTTTTCGTTGTTTAAAAACCACTAACTAGAGTTCCGTCAGATTGTCGCAGGTTGTCTTACATAAGTATATGGTCCTATTACATGCTACTAGAAAACTCGCCAGGTGGTGCTGGAGTAGAGTTATTTAAAAAAAAATCGAATAATTAGCCGATTTCGTTCAAATTTTAGATGTGAGTTATGTACCTCTATGATGAAGAATGCTTTTGATAAAAATTGACCCAATGAGTGCCGCGTATTCATTTTAGCAATGGTTTTGCAGAAAATGGGCCCAATGGATGGCGCTGCAGCCGAAATGTATAGAAACCCCGTGCGATTGGTCTGCTTTGGCTATATGTTTAAGTTATACGAATTTTGTTTTCAGATGTCTAAATGAAGGATGGGGTTAAGTTTATCTGAAGCCCTCATGCGCGATCATGCGATCTTGCATCTACCTAGAAATCAGTTCATAAATATTACCACGGATTGTAAAAGTGGCGAATTAACAAGGAAAGATCACCGTGGGTATATCAATTGCTTCAATTGAAAGATATTCAAGAGATCCCACGACTCATTTAGCCAATGTACCGGAAAACTTTTCATCCTATGGGACAGCGAGAATTCTTGGCCCTGCTATAACAGAAAACGCACTTTTGTGCTCTTGAGTGTCCTTATAATAACTTTTATTAGCATACGCATCGCACCAATGTTGTAGTTGAAAGATCATATAAAAAGATTTCGCGTGCTTGGCAGAGGTCTCACAGGTGGAAATAATGCCACCAAAAAGGATTGGTATTCCACATGATATCACAGAGTTACTATTATTGGCCAATGTGTGAGGAGGATACTGCGGTTTGGTGGTTTCAACTTAAACCAAAAATTTTGACTTTACAGACTATTTTCGCTTAAACGCTCTTTTGCATTGGCCAACGCAAAAGTTCTTATTAGGCGCCGCGTAATAAGCGGGCATTGGTTAGTATTTAATAGAATTTGATCAGTTCCATTATATCAAGTAAGAGAAAACAACCCCAAAAAAATGGAAGGGTTTGCGAAAAAAGCAAAACATTTGATAATTATGGAGAAATATAGTGATGTTGGAGATGTTGATAGCGATGAAAACGACGTAAGCGAAGATGATGGTAGTTTTATTAGGGGTTATATTTTTTAAACTAATTTTTCAGCTTAACAAAACATAAAAAAAAATTGGTACAATTCGGATTCATTATCATGAAAAAATTGATTTTCATTAAAAATTAACAAAATAGTTATTATTACAATACTTGGAAACTTGGGTGAATTAGTCTGCTCTATGAAGAAACCTTTTGAAAGTAGTACTTCCGTAAAGTGATGGTGTTGATGATGAAAATAGTGACGAAGATAATGATGAGGATAATTATGATAACGATAGTAATAATAAATAATTTGTAACTAATGATTATTATAAGTTTAACAAATTATCATTAATAATAAAAATTATTTATAAGAATAACAACTAAAGCGATGCCATAAAACCTTAAAAAAAATCTAACTGAAATATTTTCAGATTTACTTGGTGTTAGTTTTACAAATAAATCAACATATTTTATATTGAATGTACGTATCTCCAGTTTCAGGTCGATTATACCACTGTGCGCCACCTATGAACGGACAACGAAAGCAAGGAAAAAACATCAATTGAAGAAGGACCTGTCTACATTTGGTGTAAAGAACTGGATGAAGAAATTGGCGAATACTGGCTTAAGTGAAATAAAATGTTCAGTCTATACTGTATATCGCAACTAGGAATTTTCCGGGTATCCGGCCGTGTTTCTGTTATCCGACTATCCGGCTGGATACTGGCTAAAATCCGGCCGGATTTCCAGATTTCCGATTCAGATTTTTTTTAAATTTGTATATTCAAATTCAATAGCATCTAATTAGTAACTAGAGTCAAAAATTTATATACTTTTCCTTATGAAAAGAAGCATTTCCGCATTACCGGCCAACAACCCATTTCTAGTTTCAACATACATACTACCCGATGCACTAAACACTCTTTTTGAATTGACTAAGGACACACACACATACATACACATACATAGACTAGGGCAGCAAGACGTCCTAGCTTTCCAGGATTTCTCCTGGTTTTGACAAATTTGCCTGGTGTCCTGGTCCACACTCCTGTCCTGTTTTTTTTAATGAAGGTCAATGAAGACACACATAAAACAAGATTAAGCTTTCTGTTATTAGTAATCGAAAAACGATAACAACACGTTTTTTCTAACATGTTGAATAATATCTGGAGAGTTTACCTTTTTCGTTTTAGTTTATTTGATTAAATTCTTACTTTATCTTCACGCAAATGCCAAGAGTATGCAAGTTACTTAACAGGTACACGGCTAAGGGGTAATACGTACTACCCAGTAGATACTTTCGGGAACTAAAATCTCTTCCAAAAGGCCTTTATGAAAGTCATTCCTTTCTCCTTAATTTTTTCTACGGAGTGGTTCAAATTGAAAGCAGAAGCCCTTTCGCTACCCAAACGAGAGCTTCCAGAAGGCCTTTTGGAGAAATTCTTTTAATTCATAAAAATCATACTCCTTAATGAATTTATTTAAACGTCCTGTCAAATATTGAAACTTAAAATGCGTATTGTATTTCATCTGCAATTCTAAATAATGCAAACATATGTATACCCCCTTTGCATATACAAATTGACAAAAATTATGATATGTGGAAATTTGCTAATAGTCGTAAGGCAATCATTCAAGACCACGTTAAAGGCGACAAACATTTTTACGTCGCAGTCAAGACAAATTTGTTCTTTTAGGGAAAAAAACTGATAACATTAGCGTTTCATACAACACATCGTCATTAATCATTCAGCTCTACGGATTGTGCCACAAAACTACATTGCTTATAATATTCTGATTTACTTCAAAATAATCCAACGCCGGAACCAAAGCAACTGTACTTCTAAAGAATATATTGTCACCATATTCACTTGTGTCTTAGCTTTTGATTAGGATGATGTGTCCTGGTCGATGAGTTTAGGCTTATGGCAGCCCTACCATAACATCGCTCGAGATATCCTTAGGTCAATGATCTGGTCGTAAGTATGTCGCTAAACAAAAAAAAACTAATATAAAAATATTGTAAAATTTATTAAGGAAAGCAGTCTACCGGATATCCGAATCCGGCTCTTATATTTTACAGGATATCCGAAATCCAGTTATCCGGCAAAATCTCTATCCGGCACATCCCTAATCGCAACTAATACGTTTTAATCTTGCCTTTTCGTTGTCCTCTACTTACTATTTGTGCGAAGAGGGCAATGAGAAGGTAACACTTTCGGTCATAAAAAAGGACATAAGCTAATCGCGACGAGAACAGTAAATGGCACAGAATGTCTTGCTATTTCAAATCTGTTTCGTTGTTTTTATAAAGTTAACCTCTTTCCATGTTTTCAATAGTTGGGACATCGTTAATCGCATAAACAAAAGGTTATTTTTTATTCACTTACCTGCAGCAATGATGTGAAAAGTACAAGGTGATTTTTGAAGACCGATAATATTTGCCGCTCTGCAAAGTAATGTTCCATAATCTAATTCTGTTAGTGGCGTATATTCTACAGTCGACGTTAACCCTAAAGTAAATATTATAGAAATTTGCAGTCAATCAACTTTGCCTTTGAAATATAAAATAGCATAAAGTAAGGATATTTATGCAATTGTTAAAATGTTTAATTGTTTAAAAATGCAACCGATTTTTTTGCCATTTCCCCAGAAAAATATTATCCGTTTTTAGCCGATTTTGTTGGTGTCAACTAAATACTAATTTCCATGATTCAAAAAACAAGGTAGTTCCATTGTCACTTTTTCGTCGCCATATTAACAACCTGACAATTAAGCAGATTGTGACATTTCGTGCTACCATACCCAATATCTAAAATCCTTAAAATTTTCTTATTCTGCCTTATCCTGAGTTTCGCCGAAAAAAAAAATTCACCCGAAAATTTGTTATCCGTCCATAGTAAAACCATGGAAACCAAGGGTAAAAAGTGAACCGGTTCGGGGAAAATTAAACTCATGATAAGGCTGATTAATTTTTTGTCGATTTGAAAGTCTTTATTCTTAAGCATAGTATTTTATTCCTGTTTCACGTGAAAAAGCTGTTAAATTGCATATAAAACTTCTTTCTGTGAAATAAGTGCGAAATTCCCCAACATTCCTTCAGCAAAGTAGTATTCTGTTCACGCTGTGAAAAAGCTTGCAACATGAAGCTAGCAACACAATTTTCATGACATTTTTAAAATGCCTCATCTCAGTATTCTAGTAAATGCTTCCAGAGGTATCTATGCTTCACCCGAAAAAAATCGGTACAGCCGGTATGTGACTCCTCAAGCGAAATGAACTAATGATTGCAAAAAATGAAATCAAACGTCGTAGTTGACCAAAAAAGAATATTCGATTTCATTCTCTCAACTTCTCAAAATGTAGAAAACCTAAGAAATGTATAATAAGATAAGATATATTAAAACAGCCTCCAAAACAATTATCTATTTATTTCATACTTCACTTTTGGGTGTGTCAAAATTTCATGTGAAAACAGTATGTGTTGCTGGAAAAATTTCACGGCCCATATGTTCCAAAGTAAATTCCATTTACTGCTAAATGGACAAAAACAATACATCGAGCCTTAACCGCCAAAATAACGTAAGCGACATTTTTTTCGAAATTTTATTTTTGATGCAGAAATGCATCTAGATGCTCTAGGAATATTTCTGCATCAAAAATAAAATTTTGGAAAAAATGTCGCTTACGTTATTTTGGCGGTTAGGGCTCGACATTTGTATTAAATAACACATGGAAGTGTGTAATTCCAGTGTCTGAACTATATCAGAATCATTGTATCCGATATAGAAAACTACATTGTGAAATAACCAGATGACATGAGGACACTAAAAAAATTTTAAAATATGTTCACTAAAATTTTATTAATATTAAAATAATGATTTGGCATGTTGTTATCGAATTTAATGTAAAATTTAAACCTTTTTAAGATAAGATATTATTTTTGTTAATAGGCAACTATTAATACAACTATTTTATTTATAATCCCAAACTTAGGATATAAAGTCTCCCACACCAATTGTCAAAAATCTGCTTTTTAATCAAAAAGTTGTTTATTGAAACTACCTTCTTTTTTGTATCATGCTTATTTCTAAAAGATATATTTCTGTCTTTTCTGTTCCTTTAGACTGCGTTTATACACGGAAACTTTTGTCGACGCGATTTTTCACATTCCCTTTTGGTGTTGCTCATTTCATTTACACACGACGATTTTTGTGTATGCAATTGTTGTTGTCAGCTGTGAATCGCTAACTCAATTTACACAGACGAACGAGAGCACAAAACGTGTTGCCCGAGCACGAGCAACTTGGTGCCCCTCTCCTTTCCTCGTCGCGCTCTCTCCTACAAACGTCGAGTTGCGGCAACAAAAATCGCCGTGTGTAAATGAGCACTTAATATTTTCATTTCATTTAATATTTTCATTTCATTGAAGGGAGAAGATCACGTACATGTGAAAAATAGTCACTTTATTCAAATTTAGTTATTTTTAAAATAAGTTTCTAAAAGCTAAAAGCACAGTATCCGGTAAATAAAGCGCCATTATTTCCATAACACTTCATCAAATTGAATAATTGAAATACCATTTTGAAGCAAAGCTTCACTGCTTGAGGTAGGTTGAAGTGGCTGCCAGTGACCCCACTGGCACACATAGGCCCTTGGTTGTGCGCCCGTTGTGATACTGCCCAGGTTCGAAATTTTATTAACGTTAAAAGTTATTTACGCTAGGTTAGACTGCGCTGTAAATTATAACCTGTTCCATTTAAAGTTGCCTGATTTGAACAATGAGTGATGAAATTTTGATTAAAAGTATAAAATCAGCCTTATTATGAGCTTAATTTTACTCGAACGGGTTCACTTTTTATTTCCGTGTACTCACTACGGGCCAATGAAAAAAAATTTGGGCAAATCTGTTTTCGGGCGAAACTACGGTTGTCAGACGTACTGATTTTATTAGTACAGTACTGATTTTTCAACTCTTGTGCTGATTTTATTACTTCAATGAGTACGCTAATGACCTGATTTTTAAAAATTTGGGGGGTGGTTCGGTGTTAAAACAGAAAACTTTGGTTATGTAAGAGTTAAAAAAAAATTGTAACTCGCGAATTTTCTGCTTTATGATATTAATAAATTATACAGCAGGCATGCAAATCTTTAAGCTCTGTTATAAAATTTTTTTCTGAAATTTATTTGTGTTTCTTGTTGTGTTCTAAAATTTTAGTAGGGCTGTGCGATTAATTGATTACTCAAAATTTTAATTAATCATAAAGTAAATAACTCAATTATTCGATTAATTGGAAATTATGATTACTCAAAAGTTCAGTTACTCGAGTAATCAAGATTTTTGATTAACCAAAAACAAAAATATTTGAGTAAGTTGCTTTATGATTAATCAACATTTCGATTAAAATGATTAATCAACATTTCAACTCTTTACATATGTATAAAGTAGTTAAAGTTCCTTGATACTTTGAAAACAACGTTTCTGTTTTCAAAAATTAAAACAAAAAATTTTTTTCATAAACAGAATGTAAAAAAGAAAATAAGCATTTTCCAAAGCAAACCCTTTTAACGAGCAAAATTTTTTTTTTTGAGTAATTATATTTCAAGTATCTCGATTAATCATCGTTTTGAGTAATCAAAATCTTGATTACTCGAGTAATTGATTAACCGAATAATTGATTAACCAACTTGCTCGAGTAATCGAATAATCGCACAGCCCTAAATTTTAGTCTTTAACAAAAACAATAACAATACATGTTTCAAACTTTGTGCAGTATATGAAAAAAAACAGCACACTTTCGCAAAAATTTCGATGACGTTAATTAGGTTTCTTAGAAAGATATTGAGTTTTGTAGCCCATTCAATTGTAGTAAAATAAAGTGCAAGTTTGAAGTACCTAGGTTGAGTTTTTTTAAATTTTGCATAAACGAACAAACTACATTTTTATGAAAAAAGTAATTAAGATTAAATAATAGTTAAATAAATAGTCAAAACTTGTCAATATGTGGGTGTCGCATAGTTATGTTATGGACTATTTTTATTAGAGAATTAGCTGTTCTATTAAATTATTTTAAAATGTACTAAGTCATTGTTATTGTGAACTGAAAATAAGAATCCAAATGTAAAGCGAAATATTATTATTAAACTTGTAACAAATTTTTAAGCGTTTTCAGTATAATCTCTGAACAAAACATTTTCATATGTGAAGGGCTAAGATCTTCTAAATATTTCGTTTGCCATGTTGGATCCGCCATTTTGAATCTTTGGTAAATTACTTTAGATTTGTAGTCAGTGACCCAGAAAACCTCCAGATACCCAGTCTCATATAAATGAAATTTTTTCAGTTTTCGTCCGCCATATTGGATCCGCCATTTTGAATTTTTGATAAGTGACTTTAGATTCATAATCAGCGACCCAAACATCCCCTAGATAAGAAGTGGTATACAAATCCATCAAAGAGTATTTGTTTAATAGTTTCGTCCAGCTAGATTCGCGATCCGAACCACTGCACAGTAGTCTAATGTGCAAAGCTAGGGTAATTTAATAAAAATTTTATTTATAATTTTTCAATAAAATTTTTATCAAATATCCAAGAATATTGTCTACTTAAGAGTAAATACAACTTGGTTTGAAAAAATTTGGCCACATATAAATATAACGGTATTCAAAAGTCATAGTAAGCAATAAATTTAAAATGAAATTGTGCGTGCAACGAAAACTGAGTATTTTTAAGGCTCAATAATTTGATTAAAGGAACTTTGTTTTAACATCATTTCTTTCCCCGTCATAGTTTTAAGTAAGAAAATTCAGGAAATGTAAAAATTATTACCGAAGTGGACGCACATATTGTTTTGGAGCTGATAAAGTTTTAATCTTCTTGCTGAGTACCAAATTATTATTATTTTTGTTTTTGTAGACGAAATCTTTCTTAAATGGCGGATAATTTGATAAATTGAAATCATACGTGCGAAGCCTAATTCAGAATTTCAAATAAAGATTGGCTCGAATTTAAAATAGACTTGTCACAATTTGTGTGTTCTATGTTTGGTAAGCCGGCATTTTCTGCTGGTAGGCCAGCTAAAAGTATTGAAGATTGTTGCCAAAAGTTAAAATTAAGAAAGCTAATGAGCTGAACTAAAAATGAGATCTTCAGCTACGCTACTTAATGACCTTTTCAGTGCTTTCCCAGAAAGAGGGTCTGCTATTAAGAAGGTCAGATTGGCAAAGAAGAGTCCTAAAGATATTTCGCTTGAAGAAGCTCTCGCACTAATTATCGACACAAATTTATCAAAGCATCAGTATCGATTACTTACTGAGGGCCGTTTTCTAATGTAAGCAGTAAAGTTGCCTTTACTAACAGGGCAGATAAATTGTTCCTCACTTTAAAGTGTTTTCGTTTTCTTATCTTACCGGTAAACATAAATTTGTTATTCCGTAGAGTGAAACTTCACTACATTTCCGACTGTGAAACTTCACTACATTCGTCATAAAATTTCAAAGGTTAGTAAA